GTTTAGGTAAGTGGTGTGTTTCTAGAAAACTGTCCATTTCCTCCAGATTTTCAAATTTGTTGGAATACAGTTCTTCATAGTATCCAAACCTTTGACTTTTTACAGTAATGAACTAATACCACATCTGTCCTTCTGTGATTGACTTTTTTCACTCAGCATAATGTCCTCCAAATTCATCCATATTATGTGATGTTTTGTAGATTCTACATTATTCTTTTGTGTTGTATAATATTCCATTGTGTGTATGTACCATAGTTTGGTTATCCATTCTTCTCTTTAACTACCAGAGCTCCTTAAAAGAAATAAAAGAAGATCTAAATAAATGGAAAGATGGAGATGGTCCAAGATGGTAGCATAGTCAGACACCTCATAATGTCCCTCTTACAACAAAGAGCTGAGAAAACAAGTGAATCCAATATGGATGACAACTTTGGAAGCCTGAATATTAAAAGCAAGGCTGAAGAATCAGACAGAATGCCAAGTGGAAAGAGACTGTACAAAAACAGGAGACACAGAGAACTAACAATTTTTGGTCCTTTACCAGATGAACATGCAAAGTACTGCTATATTGAGACAAAGCAAGCAGTGTTCCTAGTTGAAGCCCCTGACACCTGGTGGAGGCAAGTGGGAGCAACTTTGCACCCATGCCCGACCTTGTGAAAGTTAAGTGCACTCACCTCACCCACCACTCCCCTCCAAGCATCCCTGAGTTGAAGGTCTGTGAACCTGCAGTGGCTACTTCCATCTCCCTCATCCCCCCTTTGCATGTGATCACATCTGGCAGCATCCACCATTACTCAAACCCCAGAGCTGGGTGTCAGTGAACTGGCACCTACCCCTTCACTTAGCCACTCACATTTGGGACACACAAACTGGCAGCACCAGCTTCACCCAGTCACTGGCACCAGGGTCCCATAGAACAGTGGCACCCGCTTCTCCATCTAACCACCCATGCCAGGGACCTGTGGAACAGCAGTGTCCTCTCTCCACCCACCCAACCATGTTAGAGTCTGCAATCTAGTGGCACCGACTTCTCCACCCAGCCACTTGTGCTGGGAGCCTGTGGATGGGCAGTGTCCCCTCTTCTACCCACACTGGGTGCCTGTGGTATGGCAGAGCCCTCTATTCAGCCTACCCACTCATGCTGGGGGTCTCTGGACTGGTGGCACCAGTTCCTAGCCAGAGTCCACAGATTGGAGATGTCTGCTTCTCCACCTGGTCATGGGTGCTGGGGGCCCAAAGGACTGGTGACACCTCTTTTTCCACCCAGCCAACTACACAAAGGGACTGAGGATGGGTGGCCCTGCTGATACACCCAGCTGCCCACCTTGGGGGCCCACACTCCAGTGGCGCCTGCTGCTCCACCCAGCCACTTGTGCTAGGAGCCCATGAACCATAGACACCCACTCCTACACCCAGCCACTTGCACTGAGGGCCTGGAGACTAGCACCATCTCCTGTTCTTTCCATCCACCTGCACCAGGGCCTAAGGACTGGTGGCACACCCTCCCTCATGTTGTGCTTCAGCAGACTGGGGCATGCCCTCTCACCAGGCACCTATGGATGGGTGATATGCCCCCTGCCTCACTTTCTGCACTACCCTGCTGCAACTGGAGGCTTTTCCCTCTCTGACCACCCCCAGGCATCCATGCTCACCTGGGACCATCAGTGAGAGTTTTTGTACCACTCACTTAGTGACCACCCTTGCCCTGTCCACTTGGCAACCATCAGTGTGCACACACAATGCCAAACCTAGTCACCAGTGAGAACGCTCCCTGCACCCACCCCCAGATGACCTCTGAATGGACATATCACCTCACCAGCAATGCCAGCTGTATCCTCAGCCACCCCATAAGACCAGTGAACACAGACCCATGCTCACACACAGTCAGCCACTGCCCCATACACTTGGAGAAAGGTGGTGGGAGTTCCAGTGCAGCCAGACTAGTGACCAGAGTAGACTGCACATCCTGCTTATTCTGATATAGCAAAACAAAATCAAACAAAAAATCAGGATACTGCAAATAGAGTAAAAAATATAACACAGTGATGTCTTAGAGATGACAAACAATATCAAGTCACATAAAAAAGCAAGACAAGAAGTCTCCAGCAAGTGACTAAAATAAAGAACCAGAAACCCTACCAGAGGAAGAAATAGTAAGGAATTCAAAAGAGTAGTATATACAGTTCTGCAAGAGATCAAGGAAAACACAAGACAAAGCAATAGAAGAATTCAAGAAGACAATATAAGAACAAAATGACAAAACAAATAGACAATTAGAAACATACAAAAATAGTAACTAGAAATTCAAAAGAGTAGTGATAAAATTTCAGAAATAACACAATAGAAGGACATAGGAGTAACATTGAATCAATGGAAGACTGGATCAGTGAATTAGAGGACATATCCCTTTACCCCAATTTGTTTGAGGATAAATCAGAAAAAAAGGAATGGTGAAAAATGAAGAAAGCCTAAGAATTATATTTGACATTGTCAAGAGAAAAAAATTATGCATGATTGGAATTCCAGAACAGGTGGAGGCAAAAAAAGCAACAACAACAAAAAATAAACCACAGAAAGAATTGTTGAAGATATGCTAGCAGAAAAATCCCTAATATCATGAAAAAGAGAAGATATCCATCCAAGAAGCTCAATGAACCTCAAACAGAAT